TTTTTTTTTTTTTTTTTTTTTTTTTTTTTTTTTTTGTACCAGGGATCGAACTTGGTACCTTTCACTTGAGAGGCTGGCAGCAGGACCACTGAGCTAAATCCCCTGGTCCTACTGCCCTTTGTCTGAAAAGATACCTCTCTCCCTGTCTCTAGCTAAGTCTCAGACTTAGCTGAGTGAAAACACTTTAAGCTCTGACCTGCCCATACGTCTCTTCCCTGCCTCAGACCCTGTATCTCAGCAACATGCTTCTTTTCCCTCAAAGACATCAGGCCCTCACACTCTGTGATCTGGCACGGGCTTTTGCTCAGTAGCTACCTCCTACATGAACCCAGTTAATGCCTGCAGGCTCAGGTCAGCAGTTGCTTCCCAGGCAGAAATGGTCCTGGGGTGCTCCATAGCTCCTGCCTCCATTTCATATTGGCATTGTTCATGTCTTGGTCTGTTTCTCCACTATTTCCTGAATGCCTTAGGCTAGGCCCTGGTATGAGTTCCTTCTTTGTACCCAGCATAATGCACACTTGGGACATGACAGGTCACCAGGCCTCTGGCCCCTAAGAAAGAAAAGCAGTTCTAGCTCAAGCACTTTCCTAGAAATTCTGTCCTTTGTATGGGAAACAGGTGTCAGGTTGCTGGAATTATCTGAGGCTCAATGATACAATGTTGGTGTCGGAAGTAGGACAGGATGCCTGTCTCTCTCATAGCCAGGACATCTCCCACCTGGCACAAGGCTTCAGACCTTAAAGAGATTTTTCAGGTCACGGTGGGTACTTGGTGATTTTTACTGGCCCATTCCTCTCTGTCCCTTTCTTCCCTCTGGCCACCTCTCTTCCGCTGTCATTGGCTCCCACATGTGGTTAGGCCTGGGAGTGTCTCTTGAGGGCAGCAGCCATGGCAGTCAGAGCAGTCTGGCCCACAGGGCCTGGCAAGTGGTGGGACTGCTGGCATCAGCTATATTGTGCAGTGCTGGAGAGCAGGGGCAAGCTAAACCTGGAGGAGACAGCTTCCCTAGCCCAGGGCACCTGCCTCTCTCTAAAAGGAACCTGTGTCTAGGCATGGGGAGGGAGTGGAGTTGGGAGTTCAATAACTTTGTACCCTGGACCCTCTAGGAATCCTATGCCAATGTGAAGCAGTGGCTTCAGGAGATTGACCGCTATGCCAATGAGAATGTCAATAAGCTCCTGGTGGGCAACAAGAGTGACCTCACCACCAAGAAGGTCGTAGACAACACCACAGCCAAGGTGAGCAGGACTGGACCCAGCTACATAGGGGGCTGGGGATTGTTGCCCCTCACCCTTGTCTCCTCTCTCCTCTCTTTTCTTGGCAGGAGTTTGCAGACTCTCTAGGCATCCCCTTCCTGGAGACAAGTGCCAAGAATGCCACCAACGTCGAGCAGGCTTTCATGACTATGGCTGCTGAGATCAAAAAGCGGATGGGGCCTGGAGCAGCCTCAGGAGGAGAAAGGCCCAACCTCAAAATCGACAGCACCCCTGTGAAGCCAGCTGGTGGTGGCTGTTGCTAGGAGGGTCACTTGGGATGGGACAGGAGAGGACACCTCCAGATGATGCCTCTGGAGAGGGCAGGAGGTGCTTTCTGTCTCTCCTGGGCATTTGAGTCTGTGGCTTTGAGGTGTCCTGGGCTCCCCATCTCCCTCTGGCTCATCTGCCTGCTGTCCTGAACCCTGGTTATGTCAGGGTCCCCAAGGGAGGACACAGGACTTGTGGCAAGGGCGGGGATGGGGGCTGCTCTGCTGCTGCCTCTAGGTACCTTGGAAAGATGCCCCACCATGCGCCTTCCTTTGGAACCGGGGGGGCTCCTCTGTCTCCCCTCCCTCATGTATGCTGCACTGGGTTTCTTGTCTCTCCTCTGTTCCCAGGAGCTGAGGCCTCCCTGGCCTCTGCTGCCCCTGACTGTAGTCAGTGCCTAGGGTCAGGACTAGCCAGGGAATCCAAGGCCTGGGATCTAGGGCCCTGGGTTAGACCTCAGGATGGGTATGGGGGCTGCAGGAGCCCAGCAGCCCACCCTTTCCTTTCCTCTGCCTCCCTCCACCCTTCCTACACTCAGCTCAAGCCATCCTGCTGCGGTGGGGTCCGAGCACAGTTAGGGCAGGTGGGCGGGAGGCTGCACTGGGCCTGTGTCTTGAGCCCAGAGGGAGCCTGCTCCTGCCACCCCCTGCCCTGCCAGAGCCAGGCCCATGTGCTGCCTGCCCACCGTGCCCCTTTGTGCCCAAAGCAGGAAGAGGCGGAAGGCCCACCGTGCCAGAGGCCAGGCACCAGCCTTAACCCTCACTCTGCCAGCGCGCCCTCTCTTTCCCTGAGGCAGCACATCTGGTCTATTCCTCTCATTGCTCAGAGCCTCATTCCTGCCGCTACTTCTCTGGGGAATGTGGGTATAACCTGGAGTTGGGGGTCCTCTGCTCACCCTCTCCCCACCCAGGATCCTGGTCCTCTGCCCTAGCTTCCTACAGAAAACAAACCTTGGTCTCTACCTAAGAAGCCATGTCCCTTGTGCTGTCTCTTGCCTGTCCCATCTATACCCTGCCCTTCCCTCCAGCTTGTATTTAAATCCCTGAGCCACCCTTGGGGGCCCTCACTCCCAGGATCCCCTCTGGTCATGTCAGGCGTTTTGCAAGGAAAAGCCACTTGGGGAAAGACTGAAAGGACAAAAAAAAAAAACAAAAAAAATCAATAAATTTCCATTGGCCCTTGGGTGAGCCGAGGGTTTTTGCAAGGAAGTTGTGGTGACTGAGTGTGGTCTGTGGTCTTAGCATACCTGGGAGGGGGGTGCGACTTAGAGCCCTGGACGGGGTGGTTCACAAGGGTCCTGGTTTAGGCTGTCAAGGTTGCCGACAAAAGCCCTTGACCCACATACTGGGGCCAGGAGAGCTGCGTGTGTTGCTGTGGGCAGTCCCCAAGGGCCCAGCACGGATCTGTCAGGAAGGTAGGCAGGCAGCCATCAGCGAATACCCAGTGAGCCTCCAGCAACACCACACGGGCCCCCTTCTGAGACTTGGAGTTGGGCAGCAGTCCTGGAGTTGGCCAGAGAGCTGCAGTATGCACCACAAATGTGTCCCAATGCACCTAGACTGTACCCCTTTCAGCCCCTGGGTTCAGCCCCCTCGCCCGATTTCTGTCCAGTGGCCAGATGACCCCCACATACTTTCCCAAGGTGACAAGGGCTTTGCACTTAGGGGGCTCAGACCCCGCCAGTGAGCATGGGGTGGAGAGCTGGAAATGTGCTGGTCAGAGGGGCTGTATCAGGCTGCTTGTACGACGGAGTGTCAGATGTGTGTGTGTCCAGGTCTACTTACTCTTGAGGAAGCACGGCCGTGGCCTCGTC